TCCTCTTCAGATCGTTGATCTCAGTAGCTTAGGCTCTGGTGATCAAGTTTTTATTTTCTGTTTGTGGTGAGTTTGTTATCTGATCTAGGGAGTTTTGGGTGTGTGAGTGGGTTTTTGTACTCAGGGTTGGGCCTCTGCTCTCAGCCCGTAGTACTTTTGTTCTCTATATTAACAAAATGACACAGCTCTCCTGCATAGTTTGAAAGCAAAAAAAAAAAAAAAAAAAAAAAAACAGAATAGAGAATTATTACATTACATGAGTCTAAAACATGGAACACACAACAAAACACAACTAACAGCTTCAGAAAGCAGCATATCTGCAACCGCTCGGACACAAGAACACAATCAATGAATGTGGTTGCTATACACAAACAGAATTGCAATAACCACCTTAAATCTCTAAGAAAACTTCTACTCCAGCATAAAATGAAGCAAACATTTCACGAAAACAATCAAGTGACAAATAATGGAAGAATAAGAAAAGACATGATCGCTGCTTGCATATAATAAATTGACTCATATTACAAAAGCATTACAAATTAATCAAGATAGGTTTGCTAAGAAAGTCCAGCAAGCACCAAGAATTATCTGTTTTAGTGCTGCTTATACTCTAATAAATAAAAGGTGCAAATAAGCGACAGTCATGTGCCTATTACATCACCAAGAATCATCTTTAAGCATATCAACATTATACTACTATAGGGCAACACAATCAAGAAACAATTGAACATGTAACAGTAGACGACACCTCTTAGCCAAATCAGTTGCAACCAGAAAAGTGTATCTTTGTTGTGAATGTCATAAAGCATGCAAATTCACTTGACAAAAAAAGGCCATACTACAATTTCACATGAGCAACCCCTAAAACTCAACACATAATAACAACTACAGAGCATTTCGCTGAGTAAACAATGAAAATTCTCATGGTGGATGCTATATCCAGTTTACTCAATGATTTTGTTGATGACACCGGCACCAACAGTCTTACCACCCTCACGGATAGCAAACCTCATACCCTGCTCACAAGCAACAGGCTGGATGAGCTGAACAATCATCTTGATACGGTCACCAGGCATGCACATCTTCGCCTCCTCATCCTTGTCATTCATAATCGTAGTCACACTCCCCGTCACGTCGGTTGTCCGCATGTAGAACTGTGGGCGGTAACCAGGGAAGAAAGGTGAGTGCCGGCCACCCTCTTCCTTCTTAAGCACGTACACAACAGCCTCAAACTTGGTGTGCGGTGTGATAGAGCCAGGCTTTGCCAGCACCATGCCTCTCTCGATGTCTTCCTTCTGCATACCACGGAGTAGCAGCCCGACATTGTCCCCAGCCATGGCATCATCCATGGTCTTCTGGAACATCTCAACACCAGTCACGGTGCAGGTCCGGGTGTCCCGGATTCCAACGATATCGACTGTGTCACCAACCTTGACGGTGCCACGCTCAATACGGCCAGTGGCAACTGTACCACGACCGGTGATGGAGAAGACATCCTCAACAGCGAGCAAGAACGGGAGGTCGGTCTGCCGCTGTGGGACTGGAATATAGTTATCCACTTCATCAACCAATTTGAAGATGTAGTCCACCCACTCGTTGTCGCCGCGCTTGAGGGCAGGGTTGGCCATGAGGGCCTCGAGCGCCTTGAGGGCAGAGCCAGCGATGATTGGCACGTCGTCGCCGTCGTACTCATAGTTGCTGAGCAGCTCGCGGACCTCGAGGTCGACAAGCTCGAGCAGCTCCTCGTCGTCGACCATGTCCTTCTTGTTGAGGAAAACAACGATCTTGGGGACACCGACCTGCTTGGCGAGGAGGATGTGCTCTTTGGTCTGCGGCATGGGCCCGTCGGCGCCGGAGACGACGAGGATGGCGCCGTCCATCTGCGCGGCGCCGGTGATCATGTTTTTGACGTAGTCGGCGTGGCCGGGGCAGTCGACGTGCGCGTAGTGGCGGGTATCGGTCTCGTACTCGACGGTGGCGGTGTTGATGGTGATGCCGCGGGCGCGCTCCTCGGGGGCAGCGTCGATCTCATCGTACTTCTTGGGCGCGCTGCCGCCGACGGAGGCGAGCACCATGGTGAGCGCGGCGGTGAGGTGGTCTTGCCGTGGTCGACGTGGCCGATGGTGCCGATGTTGACGTGCGGCTTGGTGCGCTCGAACTTGCCCCTCGCCGCGCGCACCACCAGCAGGCGCCCGCGCCGCTGCCCGCCCGCCGCCGCCGCCCGGCTCCGCAGCCGCGCCGGCTGCGCAGAGAAGCCCAGGGAGGTGGAGAGCCGGACGCGGCTTCTGGATGAGGAGGCCTGCGGGAAGAGGAGTGAGGTGGAGGCCGAGGCGAGGGAGGCCATGGCGGGCGGCGGAGGAGCAGCGGGAGGTGGGGATTATTTTGGGGGTGGATAGGGAGAGGCGAGAGAGGGGGTTTGCGCTGCTTATCTCTAGAAGGGAAGCGCAGCGAGAGGGTGGGGGATAAGGGGATGGCCACGGATTAGGCGAGCGGCCGGCGGGCGCACTCGCCAACCGCTCGATGGGTGGCCGCCTCGGGGCCGTGTCGGAGAGGTGAAAAAAAAATGGGGCGTTTGGGCCAGAAAAAATGCGGGTGAGGCCCAGGATGCGCCTCGTCGGCGCCATCGCCGCAGTGAACGGCAGCCTTGGCTTTGGTTCGCTCCGCACCAAGGCCTTGTTTAGATTGCCTCAAAATTCAAGTTTTTTCACTTTCTTTCCATTACATCAATTTTTAGACACATGTATGGAGTATTAAATGTAGATAAAAAAAAACTAATTATACAGTTTGGTTGTAAATCACGAGACGAATCTTTTAAGCCTAGTTAGTCCATGATCAGACAAAGTTTATCAAATACAAACGAAACGTGCTACAGTGTCCAGATTGTAAAATTTTGCAATCTAAACAAGGCCCAAACTGCTCCGTCTACCGTGTCACATGGAGCCACGTAAACCGCAACGGGGCTTCAGATTCTGGAACGCTCGCCCCAGATGGAAAACGCCATTGTTGAGCACGGCGGAAGGTCGGAGACGAGTGTCCTGCCCGCCTACGGTCATTGGAGACGAAGATACCGTGACACGGTGACAGTGAAGTTTATATTTGGTGTATTGTAATTTGGAGACAGTTGATGGCGTCTGGTCCGGTGAGAACTTTATATGCACACGGCATGGTCCAGTGAAAGTTTTTTTTTACGATTACTAGTGTGATTGAAAATCGAGTGCTATGTATAGGAGTTAAATGCCCATTTAGCGGTGATTATAAGTGCACATCTTCCGAAACACGGTATAGAAGTAGACAGTTACTCACCTCTACAGATGTGTGACACCTCACTACCAAGAGATATGTCACCTACAGTATTCGCGTCAAGTCAAGAATTTGAACTTTGACAGACAGGAATCAAGTTTGAGTTGAAGATAACTTGAACCTAAGGTTTAACCATCTCTCTCGTCCAGCCAATTAATTTAGGTTCACTTCCTATACAACAACACGCTAAAATATATATAACGATGTTAAGAAAAGATTAGGTTCAATTTCATGGGCATAGCGAAAAAGAAAACACATGCAAATTAAAGGCATACTCCATTCGTCCTGAATTTAGTGCAATTGTGGCTTCTAAAATCTGTACAAAAATATAATGTATTCTATGAAGCGATTATGTTTAGATTTGGCAAAGTTTATTAAAAAAGAAAATCATAATTTGAGGAAAAACTCTTTCATTAGCTTTAATCTGTGGATACATGTGTCATTCGATTATTCTCTTAAGTTGTCCTAAAAATTTTAAAATACATTATATTGCAGGACAAAGGGAGTACCAGACTAATAATAATTATAATAGCAATACGCCAATACACCACGATTGTGGCACCTAAAGGAGTTTAAGTTTTCAATATTAATTTTAGCCGATTATAGTTAAGAAATTATCAATATTTATAATATCAAAAGTAAATACCATTAGATTAATTACAAAATATATTTTCATAATAAATTAATTTATATTAGAGTCATAAATGTGAATATCATTCATTAGAAATTTGGTCAAATATGAACCACTTAAACTGGCATGCAACCCATAGTTGCATTTTTTTTACATAGAGAGTAGTAATAAGTAGGTTTATTTTTTTATTTATGCATAGGCTCGGAGTCTAAAATTGATTTATATTACATATTATATTATATTTATTTATTTGTCTTGACATATGCGTATAATAAATTAATAGCTACTAATATACTCTCTTCATCCATAAATAACTGTCGTTCTCGCTTCCCGAGAAATAACTTTGACTAATTTTATATAAAAAATATTAACATTACACCATTCGTCCCAAAAAAGAGTCGCTACGGGAATCATGCTGGTCAAACTTTTCTCAATTTTGACTACGTTTGTAGAAAGTGCGTGCAACATTTATATTTTCAAATAAGTTTATTATGAAAGAATATTCAACGATCTACCTAGTGGTACTAATTATGTACCATAAATATTAATATTTTGTTTAATATATTTGGTCAAAGTTAAAAGTTGTCGACTTTTTGGAAGCTAGAATGACTCTTTTTTAGGGACAGAGGGAGTATGGCACATAATTAATATCATTAGATAGATCGTTGAATCTATTTTTATAATAAATTTATCTAGACATTTAAATATTACACGTATTTTCTATAAATATAGTCAAATTTAAGGCACGGAAACAAAAAAAATTGATAATTATTTAGGGATAAAAAGAGTATAGTATTGGTTGAGCCGTTAATGAGCTGTCTCGCGAGTCAAATAAGCTGACTTGCGAGCTAAATAAATGGGAGAATTATGTATTTGGCACTGAAATAAATCGATATTTCATATTTGACACTAGAAAATTTAAACTTCCTTAAATAGCACCAACTTGAAATTTTCTTCTATAAATAGCACTGCTGTCCATTTCGACCAGGCATCTGTTAGTTGACCGTGTTCAACTTGTCAGTTCATTTCGAGGGAGACCAAAATACCCCTACCCCTCGGTTACTCGCACATGCCGTGCGCAGGCAGAGGCGGAGGAGGGATTGGCCGGCGGCGGCCAGGGCCGGCCGCGCACGCCCCCACGGCCCCACGCGTGCCCTCACGCGGAGGATGCGGGGCGGCCGCGGCCGCCGGTTGCAGATCGCGCAGCGGTGGACGCGGGGTGCCCACGCCCGCTGGAGGTCTGACGCGGCGCCCTGCCGTGCCCGTGCTGGTGCCAGCGCCACTGCCCCGCCAGATCCTGTGCTCGCCAGGAGTCGCTGGAGGCGGTGGAGGAGCAGGATGCCCAATACGGCAAAGCCGGATGGACGAGGGGTGCGCAGCCGCAGAGGACATCGCCGTCTACCAGGGCCATGACGACTGCCTCCACAACGACGGCCAGCCATTGCTCGGCGGCGAGACCATCTCCTTCGAGTACGCCAACGCGTTCCCGTCCGAGCTCTCCGTCCGTGTCGCCACCTGCATCGACCCCACCATGCCAACTACATTTAGGCCTGCTTCCATCTCCATTCAAGCGCAAGTGGTGTTTGATGCCGAGAAGGTACAACACTATCGTCTACCCTCCTCACTCTAATGGAGTTGCTGCGTTTGGGCCTGTCTCTGTCGTTCAAGAGGGGCCCCTGAGGTGTTTGAGGAAATGGCTAAGCACATTTTAGAGATACCGTGGCCACCTCCCATGCATATGTCAAACATGCTATGTACTGACTGTGTGCCCTCAGCTCAATCCTTGGTTGACAAGAGGATACAGAGCTGTTTCTCGCCTCCATCCTGTCGTAGTTGGGATGCAGTGCCGCATAGGCAACCATGGCCGCCACCGGAGCAGTTTGGGACGCAGGGCAATGGAGTTCAACTTAGGCCAACACCCTGGCCATCTTTCATTGGTAATACAGTTCAAGTGGCAGACCTTATCAAGTGGCCTGGAAGTCAAGCATTGGCCTGGACCACAGGCCGTCACCTACAAGAGCGTAGGAGCACCGGCATGGCGAAGAGCTCACCGCCGTGCGGGAGCATCCGGCCGAGAAGCGATGGTCCCAGCAGCGCGCTGGCCAGTGTACACGCACGCAGACGACGCAGCACAGCACCTCTATGGAGTTAGCACACGCCGGCCAGCTGTGACGACGACAGTGTTTGGGCGTCACGTCGGCGGGAAAGCAGAATAGGCTCTTTCCAAGTCACTCCTAATTCAGTACGATCTACGATGTAAGCTTGTGCCTGAAATTTATTTATTATTTTTTGTATGTGTTCTTATCTTACTATTTGAAATTATTGATTATTTTGTTTGCACTCTTCAATTATCAAAATGCCATGTTTTAATTCACAAATATATTTGTGATATTTATGCTTTTCTTATTTGACAACATGTTCAGTTTTTCTTTTTCTATTTGACATTACGTGTTGCTACTGCATGGAAGAGTAGACATATCATTTTAGCTGTCACTTAACACCGTTAGTACATTAAATGGACGGCAGTGTCATTTATAGAAGAAAATTTCAAGTTAATGTTAGTTAAGGAAGTTTAAATTTTTTAGTGCCAAATATGAAAGATCGATTTATTTTAGTGCTAAATACATAATTCTCCCTAAATAAATTGAAGATGAGCTAGCTTGTTTGCATGATGAGCTGAGTCGAGCCAAAGCCAACGAGCTGGAGCCCAGCAGAACGCGGAAACCTGTCGGCCCGTTCTTCCCCTGGCCTTCTCGAGTCCTCTCCTGTCCCTGGCATCCTCGCTGCCGCGGCCTTCCTCCTTCCTCCCCCTCCCCCGATCGCATCCACCCTGAAACCCTAGCGGCCTAGCCCCCGGCCATGGCGCGGCGGTCGACCCCTCTCCTACGCCGCCTCCTCGCCCCGTCACCTTCCCCTTCCCCCTACCCCTCCACTCCCCTCGCCGGCGCCGTGTCCCGCCGCACCGTCACCTACATGCCCCGCCCGGGGGACGGCGCCCCGCGCGGCGTCACCCTCATCCCGGGCGACGGCATCGGGCCCCTCGTCACGGGCGCCGTGCGGCAGGTGATGGAGGCGATGCACGCGCCGGTCTACTTCGAGACGTACGAGGTCCACGGCGACATGCCCACGGTCCCCGCCGAGGTCATCGAGTCCATCCGCCGCAACAAGGTCTGCCTCAAGGGCGGCCTCGCCACCCCCGTCGGCGGCGGTGTCTCCTCCCTCAACGTGCAGCTGCGGAAGGAGCTCGACCTCTACGCCGCGCTCGTCAACTGCTTCAACCTCCCTGGCCTGCCTACCAGGCACGACAACGTGGACATCGTCGTCATTCGGGAGAACACTGAGGGCGAGTACTCGGGGCTCGAGCATGAGGTCGTCCCTGGCGTCGTTGAGAGTCTCAAGGTATGGAGAATTCCATGTATTACTCTGCAAGTTATAGCTTCGATGATGCAGTGTGTGGCACGCTGGCAGCTATTATGTGCATACGGCTAAATGTGCCAAGCTTATAGATACTATGTCAGTTATTGAATCTACTTGTCTAATTGTTGGTAGAGTTATACTTATACACACCCGTCTCCGGATTGGCTGGTGAACACAAGCATGATGATAGAATTGCATCAGGAAGTTGAATCAGCAATCTTGTTTATTTTATTTGGGAAAATTAATTTGCATTCTTTTTGGGTGTCCTTTATATATATGATAGATACGATGGTATATGGCATGCTTGCTATACTTGTTTAGTGTTTCTGATTGGTAGGTTAATGGTTGAATCTTGAAATATAGTAACTGGTGCATTTGGGCATTCAGTTGAGAAATCAACGCGTTTCTGCATTTTATACGGAAAAACCTGATGCGTTTTTGGCAGTTTACTTTATTTTTATGTGTCCAGCAAGATGATCTACTTGCTGTGAATCTGAGGTTGAGATATTGGTGTCATTGGATAGTTCATACAGCGTTCCATGGTGACTTGCTTAAGTGTATTCCCAAGTTAAGTGAGATGCACTTCTAATTTATAGGTGTTCTATAAAGCTATTCGATGTTTGTGAAGGGTGTATGTTATCCCTGTCCTTCTTGATAGTGTGGAAACAGTGAAAGTGATATATTTTGCTCAAGGAATATTAATCATTATTACTAATCTTTGATTAATCTGAACACAAAAAGAAATTTTGTATTGAAGATTATGTAGTCATGTTACAATAACAATAGTCTCTGTGTTCATTTATAACTATCATTGTAATATCTATTTCAACAAGTGGTGACTGGTGAGCACCACCAAGCTTAGCATGTAGGAGTTTTGCTTTTGCCTAGGTGTTCTTTTTTATGTGTGTTTCTTTTGCTTAGAGTGGGTTTGGTATTGATCTATGAAAGAAAATGGGACTATTGGAGATGGAGGAAGATGAAGTATGGTCATGGAAATCATGGACTTGTGATGATGTCAAGGTCTTTCTTCTAATATGCCATATCTTCTCTATTTAACATGACATCACTCTAATTGATCAGAAAAAATCCAATCGCTAGGATCCTTAGGGCGAGGTAAGGCTTGCCATCGACACCTTCCCAGACCCCCATGCAGTAGCGGGGAGCTCTTTGCACTGGGTACGCCCTTTTTTTTTTAGGATCCTTAGGCACTGCCTGACCATCTGCCTAATTCCTATTGTTTTTTTTTGAAACATCGGATATAATAGTAACAGCAAATCTAATGGCCATTACTCTTTGTTAATGACATCTTGACATCTGAGCACATAACATGCATGTTAGAGTTTAAAGATAACTTGCATCACCTTATTCTCTAAGTTCTCCGTGTCACGCTAATCAAAGAATACAATTTTAACTTGCTATGTTCATGTATGGAGTAGTGAATGTAATTTTTAATTAATAAAATATAAAGTTCAAAGGGGCGTTAAGTGTTATTCGTTCCTAGTATGTAGCCCGATAAATGGCCTTGTTGATGTAACCTTAGAAAGTTGCCAAAAATACCACAGTATTCTGCAACCTATTTTTGTTAACTTTATTTTTTAGTTTGTTCCATGACATTTCTCTTTGATGTCATGAATGGTGGGCCTAAACTCCCAAATATTGGTTTAATTTTTTAAATTTTGTAATACTGGTTGACTATGGTACCCTGTTTTGACTTGGCAGCGAATACTCTTTGGGTTATCGTTGCTCAAAAGCCAGATATATCGGAAACCTACATTTTACAAGTTGCAGTGTAACAAACCTTTCTTTACATGAGTGCTTTTTCACCGAAACTGTATCTGCTGTTGGAACATATTGCAAGTTCTTTTAGTACACATTCTTATGGCATGCCGAATTTTCCCACTATGCCATATGCCCATATCTATTGTAAGCATACAATATTGCTGCTCCTTTCTATTTTGCCATTTAAAAGAATATTTCACCTCACTATGTTTACTATCACTGTTGATTTGTTAGGTGATAACAAAATTTTGCTCTGAAAGAATTGCCAAGTATGCTTTTGAGTATGCATACCTTAACAATCGAAAGAAAGTGACAGCAGTGCATAAAGCCAACATTATGAAGCTTGCTGATGGTTTGTTCTTGGAGTCTTGCCGCGAGGTTGCAAAGAAGTACCCTGGAATTCAATATAATGAAATCATTGTGGACAACTGTTGTATGCAGCTTGTTGCAAAGCCTGAACAATTTGATGTTATGGTACGTGTGTTCACTCTTATCACTTGATTGACACAGTTTCTCACCTAGGTGATGTTTGATGTGGTTTTGTTATTCTACAAAGCAAAGTACAACACCTGTTGTCTTTATGATCTTGGATATGCCACATGTTATATACCTACAATCTTATACTGGTCTTTTGTGGACTATTTGAATACCAAATGAACTATGCTCTGCAAATGTGATATAAAAGCATGTTAGTTCCTAGTGTCGCCAAGCTCACATTTTCCTTTGTTTTGTCTTGTTCTATAGGGCTTTTTCCTGAATAATCTGAAGATTTCAAATGATTTACTAAGATTACCCGTGGAGTTTGAACATACTTTTCTTTGTTCCTTTTATAGGTCACCCCAAATCTTTATGGCAATCTGGTGGCTAATGTAGCTGCAGGTATTGCTGGAGGCACTGGTGTCATGCCTGGAGGTAGAGTTCTAACTATGATTTACGAATCCTACACGTGCAAATAGCATACATGGTTTTATGTAAAGTTGTATTTGCATCTGCCCATTGTTTGATTTTTTTTTGCTCGTTTACTGCATCCATCTATGTTTTTTTGTTTTCATACTGCTGTTAATCTTTTCCATGAGTTTTGTATAGCAAGATTGTGCAAGTTTAGTACTCATATTTGAGCAGATGCAGTATACCATTTTGGAAGGCATGTGAATCTTCATGTGCTGCATCTTTTCAGGTAATGTGGGTCAGGACCATGCTATCTTTGAGCAAGGTGCTTCTGCAGGAAATGTTGGAAATGAGAAAATTGTGGAGAAGAAGAGAGCTAACCCTGTTGTGCTGCTGCTATCTTCTGCCATGATGTTGCGGCACTTGCAATTTCCATCATTTGCTGATCGGCTGGAGACGGCAGTTAAGCGTGTCATTGCAGAAGGCAAGTACAGAACCAAAGATTTGGGCGGCACCAGCACCACCCAGGAAGTCACAGATGCGGTCATTGCCAAACTGGGTTAAAGACAAACCGTGTGTTTAATACATTTTTTTCCTCTTGGACTAGGTAACTAGTCCTGACTAAATATTTGTTCCTCGTAGGTTTAGATCACCATTTTGTTTGGCAAATCCTTGTACAATCTTCAGGTATCTCGTTTCTGACCTGGTTTGGGTTTGGAGTAACTGAGCAAACTCAGTATTAATTTTTACGCAAATTTTTGTGACCTTAATTCTTAACTGGAAATAAGAGAAAATATGGAACAGTTCTCTTCTTTTGGGCTGGCTGCTTACTGTCATGCTATCATGTATCCTTATGTATTTCGTAATCAAGCGCGACCTTGTCTGTTTGTTTCATAGTGCTTACCGTCCAACTGCTGTTTGCGTTGGTTGCATTCTTATTGACTCTTAAACCGAACAGTACCTTTTGTGTGCCTTGAAACTATGTAGAGTACTCTCTGCGGTCCTGTTTATAAGGTGGCATATGAGTATTAAGGTTCAAACTTTACAATTTTTGACCAATAATTTGTAACTCTTGTAATACAAACTGGATATGGTTGTATTTATAATCAAATGTACTAAATGATAGCGAATTTTTAATCATAAAAAATATGGTATAAAACAAATGTGGCAGTGGCAGTGTAATTTCGGAGAAATTGAGTGAAGGGAGTAGTTTCTATATGTGGAGGAAACGACTATCATTTTTTTTTCCTATAAGAGGAAAATATGTTTGGTCTTCACTCAACTTTTGATCAATATTGTGAACTAAATCCCCGTCTAGTACCATTCGTATGCATCCCCGGTTTACTTTGGTCAATCTTCTAGGCTGAAGACTTTTTTTTTTAAAAAAAATAGAGGAGCTGAAGACTTCATATACGCTTCAGAATTGAGATAAGAAGAAATTCAGAAATTTTGTTCTATACTCAGTCCAAGTTATATTGTCGGGGCTTTTACCTGTGTGTCATTATAAAAGTTGGTAATTACACATAAGCCACTAAAAAAGTTGAGTTCTCACAGGCGCCATTGCTTTGAACTCTTTTGGCCTTCACGCCACTTCCATCAGATTTGGTTCTAACGGTGTTAAACCGCGATGTGAAAAGTTGAACATACTCAGAGGTCTGAATATGCAATTAATTTTTTGAGCATCTTAATGATCTCAAATAAAAAAAAAAAACTAGAAAGTTATAGATATCAACAATATCTACATTTTTTTTATAAAAATTGTCTTCATTTAATTCCATACAAAAAGATATGATTAATATGTCTTAGAAAAATCACATTTTTTCGTACAGAATCAAATGAAGATAATTTTTATATAAATATTGTAGATCTCGACGAGATCTATAACTTTCTAGTTTTGAGTTTTTTTTCATTTGAGATCGTTAAGATGCTCAAAAAAGTTAATTGCATATTTAGACCTGAGGGTATTTTTGACTTTTTACACCGGCAGTTTGACACCGAGCCAAATCTAATGGAAGTGGCGTGAAAATAAAAGAGTTCAGAGCAGTGGCACCAGTCATTGCTCAATTTTTTTAATAACTCGTGGATAATTACCAACTTTTATAATTACCCAAAAAAAAAAAACTTTTATAACGGCACTCGGATAAAAGCCTCTATATTTTCTCTGGCAATAGCCCGGCGTCCCGGAACCAGTAAACATCACCCTTGGCAAAGCGGCCCGGCCCATCCAGCCAGCCGCCAGCCGCTGCTACTCTTCATCCAAACCCTAATAAACCCACCGCCGCCTGCTCGTTCGTCCTCCCTCCGCCCCTCCTCCCAAATCGCGCCACCAAGCACCCGACCAGTTCCCCCATGGCCTCCCACCTCGACTTCCGCTACCTGGATGAGGGCCTCGGCGGCGAGCGCGGCAAGCGCAAGCGCCGCGAGGAGGCCGAGGCGGCGGCCGAGGACTCCATGGACCTCGACGCCGACGCGCCCCGGCCGTCTAAGCTCCGCGCCATGCCTTCCCTCTCCGACCCGTCGAAGCCGGCCTCCTTCGGCCAGCCCACCTACGACGGCGTCATCGCGGGGCGCGTGTCGGGGCGCCGGTGGAAGGAGCCCCGCACCCGGCGGGCGTCGGCCGTGGTGGTGTCGCGGAAGCCGACCCCGCTGGAGCAGCGCGTCCGGGAGAAGTCGCTGAAGCGCGCGTACCAGGCCCGCAAGGCGGATCTCAAGGAGGAGATCCGGCAGAACAAGGTGGCGAAGCGCAAGGCCCGCGAGGAGCGGGAGAAGCGCAAGCAGGAGAACGTGCTCCGCACGGGCACCAAGCTGCAGCGGGTCACCAACCCCAAGACGATCCAGAAGATCGCCAAGTCCAAGAAGCGCAAGCAGCTCAAGGTTGTCCCCGACGAGTTCTTCGGCGGCAAGAAGTCGGAGGCCAACCGACGCATGCAGGTGCCTGGACTCGAAAATTGAATCTGACAGGCCTCGATCTCTTGTATCTGGCGTTGAGTTCACAGTGGTTAATTCGACGACGATTTTGTACTGCTTCTGGTTATGTAGTTTCTGGTTATGTAGTTTGAAGTATGTTCAAATTAAGTGATTACAATGGTATGCAATATAAGTTATCTCTTTCTGATGTGAGATTTTGCTGCCGCATAGCCAATTTTGCTCGGATATATCATATATGGTTGTCGATGCTTCTATGCATTGCCATCACTGACCTTTGTATTGACTACCAAGGTTGGTGGATTTCAGAGTCTGAATCCAATCAGATTTAAGGCTCTGGTCTGTACTATTCCATGTTGAGCTTGAAAACTTTAGTACCTTAGTTAGATTTGAGCCGAGAAGCGGGATACATTGCTCCATGAAAATGTATTAATGCTTTGCTTTTGTTGTGATATACATCTGCTCCTACATGAAAAATGTAGAGTAAATTTCACCAACAGTCCTCAAACTTGTCCTGAGTTATCACGAAGATCCCGGTACTCTCAAATTGTACATCAAAGTCTCTAAACTCTGTTTAATGTGTCATCGGGATCCAAACATCATCTCCCACGTCTATAGCGCTGATGTGGACTGCCAGCTCTGCCCACGTGTGATTCAGAGTTACGTGGGGGCAGGGCATACCATATCCGTTAGTCTTCAGCTCAGTTCTTCACCACGTCCAAGTGCAACCACCGCTCCCTCGCTTTTCCTCCAAAGTACGACCTTCAAAGTACGCACACAACCGCATATAATCCGTAGTATCCTCGCCGTGTTCAGTCGTCGTCCTGCTGCAGCTTGTTGATGATGCCTCTGGTACCCACGATGGCAGCGTCGTAGAAGAAGCTGACGATGGCAAGCTGATGAGCTGCTCGTCGAGGAAGTCCAAGAGGATGAGCTCCTCAGCGAAGCTGACGATGGCAACGTCGTAGAAGAAGCGGGTCGGCCGTCACTCCGTCAGGGATACGAGCTCGTACGCGCCCAGCTCGCACTCGTGGCTCACCTGATGGAGCCGCTTGGATCTGGAGACCTTCCACATCTAGTACACCGAAGAGCGACGCCTCCATGAACGCCAGGGTGTAGAAGAGCGTGAATTAGCTGGTAAGCTGGAGCGCAGCACGCCGCCCGCGCGGTGGAGGTCTGTGCGGCGTGGTGTTGCCACTCCAGCTCGTGGCTGCGGATGAAGATTCGTGCGCCCTCACTGACGAGGTTCACGGTGATGCACCGGAAGTCTGTGATGTTGAGTACGCTCGCAAATCCGCCGAGGAGCACGGCGATGCCCCAAATGAACTGAAGCTTCCGGAGCCTGTTCGCCGCTTTCTTAGCACGCCCCAAGCGCGACACCGTTAAGCCGTGAACCGCTACCACGTACTTCCCAACGCCACAGCTGGAAGGACGCCGATTCGGCACCTCTGGTGACTGGTGCTGAGCGCGCCGTCGGGACATCTGGATGCATGCTCGGCTGCACATCAGCAGTTCAGCACCGATGCCCTCTCCTTCGTATAGACGAACGGATGTGGGATGCCAAATGAGGAGATTGAGGAAGTCAAGGGGTTTTCTATAAACTTTACCCTGCCTCCACCAAACTTTGAACCGCACGTCATCAGAAACATCCACGCTGGCAGTCCACATGAGCGCAGTAGACTTAGGAGATGGTGTTGGACATGGATGACACACTAAACAAAGTTTAGGGACTTTGATGTGCAATTTGAGAGTACCGAGATCTAGATAAGAACTCGAGACATGTTTGAGGACCGCTGGTGAAATTTACTCAAAAATATATACAAACATTAGCTCATGCATGAAGTTAATTGGAATATGTCCTGCTGTTGACCCTTGAAATATCTTTGCAATCAGACTAGAGTTAATTGGAATTGTAGCACCCGTATACAAACATTAGCTCATGCATGAAGTTCAAGCTCCACCTTATCGAGTTGTTTTCACTCTAAAACTACCTAGGATAGTATGGTACGTTATTTTTCTCTCATAACAAATCAGTCAACAGTACTGTCGGTGCGAAAAGTGACCAACTAGTAAATATTTGTCGTTTTGTCGTACGTTGTGATCGGATGTGGTCTATCACTCAATGACACAGGGTTTATACTGGTTCAGGCAACGTGCCCTACGTCCAGTTTAAGTCTGTCGGTGACTTTATTCCTGAGCTCAGGTGCTCGAAGTTTGCTGTGGGGTTACAAATGAGTGGGAGTAAGATGGAGGTGTAAGAGGTCCGGTCGGACTTTGGACTAAAGGGCCGAGAGTGACGGGAGCTCCTACGTGCGCTAAGTATTCGAACATGTGCTTTGTATAGCTTTAGAATGTCTAAAGCTAGTAGAGAGTGAGTCGGAATGATCCGTCTGTCGTCCGTTGTCGTTGTTGTTTCTTGTCTTTTTTTTGTTGGGAGAGGACGTATCCCCTTTTATAGATGAAGGGGACAGCCTTACAAGTGAGAGAGAGAGAGAGAAAGAGAGTGTGTGTACTACCTAGTCTTGTTGCCCACGCCATCGGGTATAAGACGGTTTGTCGGAGTTCACAATACCGTTGATGGCCAGATGCATGTGGTAGGTTCCATCATGCTTTTCTGGTATGGCAAATGTCGGCGCCTA